GAGAGGGAAGAGGAACAGGATCAGCGGGGAGGGAGCAAGGCGGACCGTTCTTCCACCTCCCCTCTTTTGATTCCCTCCCATCTAACTTTCTTTCTCGACACCTCCCAATTATTATTATGACCATTAATAACAGTTGTACTATAATTAATACGGACCATATATAAGTATTTATCCCACCGGCCATAAAAAACCCTGTCTGGTGATTGCCGACTGGGAATCAATCTAGGCCCTAGTTGGGCAGTGGGCTTGAAACTCTGAAACCAAAAAACAGGTTTCGATCACAAGTTGGAATCCCTCCCCTTCAGATCCTTGTTTTCTGGGCCTTCGAATGCGCCTTTTGTCACAATGGCTGGACGCGGCACGAAAAATGCGTCGGGACGTACCCGAAGGGGTCCAGGAAGGAAGGGGCAGGGAACGAGGGAGCAGGAAGGAGGGTCGATTGATTCAGACCCTGGCCAGGAGCTGTAAAAGCTCCGAAGAGCAATGAGAAACAATGCCCCTAGCACACGGGACGACGACACAAAGGCGTAACATGTGCATTCCCGAAGAACACTCACCACAACTCCCGACGCCCAAGAGAAATCCAGGCCGTTCCTGTGGGTGATATGGGGGGACCGACGAAGGTCAAAGGCCAATGCCCCGAGCGAACAAGGCAATGATGCAAGCAATTGTGGTGACACACGCTACGGTAGTGTTATGTCGGGCGTGTCCCCCTACAGGGGAACTTTCGACGAAAAAAGAAAAATACCCCAATAATACCCCATGAAGGTCAAACAATAGCCCCAAAACATAGTCCCCAGGCTATGTTTGGACTATTTGTTGATTATTGTTGTTTCTTGTATTTTTCGTCGCAAAAATCCCCCTGTAAGGGGACAGGCCCGACTTAACGGTAGTGCTCAAAAACGACGTAGCACTTGTGCTGCCAGCGACACACCACCGACCCAAGACATGCTGGTTTGGGGGGGGTCGACCGCGGGAGCGATCGCACGGTGACGCTTCGCCGGCCGAGCGGGCCACGCGCGTGCGACACCTGGGCAGCACGCGGACGGGAAGCGGCCACTCTACCTGAGATGTCGCGGCATCGCTGCGTGGTCCTCTCGATTGTGCCAAATACCTACATCTCTGTTCCGAACCATGTGAACATTCCTCCCCGAGTGAAGCCCCCGCCCGTGCGTAGATTCGGCCCTGGGCGCTTCCACCACCGTGACATTCGAGCCTGCGGTTTCGGGGGCCTTCTGGGCCATCCCACGCCGCCCACGCGGTCGCGCGGAGCCCCGAGATGGCCCTAGGCCACTCCAAAACGGCCCATGAGCGCTCCAAAAAAACAATCGAGGTGGCTTCAAGACGGCCACGAGGCCCCCAAAACGTCTCAAGAGGCTCGCAAAGGGGATCCCCCCGACGCAAACATCGTCCCGTGCCCTTTTGGAAAACGTGCATGTTCAACACATTCGCCTCTTCGATCTCCACGGCGCCCACGACGACTCGAGGGACCCCGCAGATCGCCCCAGGACGGCCCAAAAAACAGCCTTAAAAGGGCCTCAAGCCAGCCAAACATCTTCCATGACGGCCCGAGGCGGGGGTCTTGCGAACCCCAAATCGGCCACGGGAGGCCCCAGGAGGACCCACGAGGACCCCAAGGAAGCCGCAGGACGGCCCAGTCCCCCGAAGACGCTTCCGAAGGGGCCCCAGGACACACAACTAAATACACACAAATGAAAATATTCCCGATATTGCCATATATTTTCTGGGGTTTCTTCTTCCCCCCCACTTCCCATATTTTCCCATATTTTCTGGGAATCGACGATTAATTGTGTCTGTGTGTTTTTTCCCCTCCTGAGCTTCAAGAGGGTCCCGGGACGGCCCAATAATGCCGCCGGACGGCCCAAAAGAGCACCAAAATCCCCAAAAGGATCCCCACGAAGGCCCTGAAAGGCAACATGCATGAATCGTCACGAAAATTGCGTTGCAAATGTGGTCAATCACGCGCCAAACTCTAAACACCAAGACGCTCCTAAACCCTGAGCGCGCGATCTTGCGCCCTCGAACAATATGGACGGCGCAATCGGCTTTCAGGGAGGCCCCGAGACGGCCGAAGAAAACATCGAAACTGCCCACAAGGCCCCGCAAAACGGGTTCAGATGGCGCCATAAGCCGTTCGAGCCCCACGGGCCCTATGAGGCCCACGATCCCGATGCACATTCCAAAACGCTCCCGATACGCCTTTTCCCAAAGCCTTCTGAGGCCCATGAGCTTTACGGGCCCATCAGCCGGATGAACTCGTGAGCCCCGCGACACCTATCAACCCCGCGACAGCGCGAGCCTGCGAACCCTACGACCCCTTGTCACCGCTACAAACCCTCAGACCCCATCGGCCTTATCTGCCCTCTCACCCCTACCCGCCCTCTGCAACACGAGCGCTCACGAGCCCAATGCGCCGCGCGCACATATCCCCTCACGACCGCATGCGCCTTCTAGCCCTTGCGACCCCCGAAATCTTTATCACATCATGAGCCTTACGAGTCTTCCCAACCAATGCCACCCCTACGACGCCAATGAGCCCGACGAGCCCCACGAACCCGACAGGCCCAGCGGCCCTATAGGCCCCATGTCGCTTATGGGCCCGATGCGGCCCACGAGCCCCGTGAGCCCCTATCAGCCTCGTGGCCCCCGCGGCCCGCAAGAGCCTCTGGAGCCCTGCGGGCCCTACGAGCCCCATGAACCCCGTCGGCCCTATGAGCCGTATGACCCCGACGACCTTTCTCTAAAACCGTGGGCCCCCTGGGTCCAAGTATCTGAAGGGGAACTGGAACACACAAATAAATACACACAAATAAAAATATCCCCCATATTTTCCCATATTTCCTGGGTTTTGTCTTCCCCCCCACTTCCCATATGTTCCTATATTTTCTGGGAATCGCCGATTAATTGTGTCTGCGTGTTTTTTCCCCTCCTGGAAGTATCGCAATGACCTCGCGAGCCCCATGAACCTCACAACCTCCGTGAGCCGATCCGCTCCACTAAGGCCCAGGAGGAGCCAGCGGTTCCTGCGAGGCCGCGGGCCCCATCGGACCTCCACGCCCAGTGAGAACACGAGCCCGAGGAACCCCCTGAACACTAGCACGACCGCCGGCGCTCGTAACCTCACGATCCCCAGGAGCGGCGCTGCCCGAAGCACGCCTCCTGCACATTCGCGCTCCGAGCTTTTTGGCCCCAGTGGCGGCAGGAAGCCTGGTTCAGACCTCTGACCCAGAGGAGCTCATGAGTCCTATCAGCTTTGCCTCATGGGCCCCTTTGGCCAAAACACGATGTGCCATCCGGGCTGGGGATGTTGAAGTGCCTCGGAAGATCTGTTGTCAAAAGCTCTTCGGGCGAGAGATCCGGCAGAGGGAATACCGGACCCAGTGTGCAAGAACAAATCCACCATGAATGGGGGGGGCGACCATGATGGATGAACGCTGCGTACATCGCCGCTCCGAAAGATCTCTGGATATTCCAAATTGGTCCCGATGGCATTGCGTGCTCGCCTACGTCGCAGCCCTCTTGGCAACAGCCCCGATGGGGTTGAGAGGCAGGATCCTCCCCTAGAACCCTAGCACGATATCCCTCTTGCGTGGTCTCGGCGGGACCCTTGGCGAGTAGTTCCCCCTTTTTACTAACCTAGTTTTAGTCCAACCAACCATATATCCCACCAGTGCAAAATAGGGTCCGGCTGAAGCCCGCGGCGGGACCCAATCCAGCGAATGTATGACGTGTTCGGGTCGTCTGGAGGTCATCTTGAAATATCCCCAGGTCATCTTAGGACCATGGTGTTGTACTCTGGGGATGTTCTGGTTACCTCGGGGTCGCTGTGAGGACGTCCCGCGCGAGAGAGCGACGGGGAATACATTGCGAGGCAATTTCCGGCGGGAGCTGTTGTTGTTATTGTTGTAAATTGGGGGCCAGGGTCGCAGTTTGGTGACACACAGTGCTCCCTTATAAAAATACCGGGTGCGAGCCCCGGGAGAAGCAGTTGGATTGACAAATAACATGGCTACCGGGGAGGGACGCCAACAAAATGGATATATATATATATACAGTGGTTAGATGTCAACAACAATGTATTCAGACGCCGCGCCCTCTACACTCAGGAATCACGCTCTTGCAGCGGGATTCTTCACGACGCATTTGGGAATCGCGCTATCGCGCGAGTTCCTCGCGATTCCTGCAGGACGCACGCTTCAGCAACCCGCCTGCTCCACCTGGCCGCTTGGACCCGTTCCCGACCCGCACGTTAGGTCTACCCGCCCAATCTGTCAGTTTGGTTCTGTAACGTGTTTTCTGCTCCTAGCCCTCCCGGTGCTATTCCCTCCTCTCGTGCTCCAGCCTCCGCCCTCCCCCTTGTCCCTTCTTTCCATCCGTCCTCTCTCTGGGGCTGCACGAAATACACGTTGCAGGTAAGAAAGATAAACCCCCAAGGGGGTATTATCGAAGATGAAGAAAGCGGTTGCCGAGGGTTTGGGACATACGTGTTGAATGGCACGCAGGCAGATAAGAGCGAACAGTTGTAAATGTATTGTTATTGTTGCTGCTGTTGGTGTTGTTGTGCGTTCTTGAGGCGACTGGGACGCGGCAAGCGGACAGAGCCTGCCCAGACAGCTTCCATGTACAGTATTTGCAGCACATCCTCAAACCAAAGCGCGTGCACGTCTAGATGTTGTACTAGAACCTCTGGAGCGCGCGATGCGGAATCGTGAACGCTGCACTGGGAGGAAGTTGGAGTGACGCCTATGTGTGTCAACCTCACTGCGTCGGACAATGCGCTGGAGTGTACACGTACATGTATCACGTATGGACGAATGCCTTTAAACTGCGCCGCCAGGGATGCGAATCGGCTGCGCCATTCGGTCCTCTCCGCGCTTGGTCGCTTGTCCTCCACAACTGCCCTGCGCTCGCGTGCTGGCAAACACGTTGCTTCCTTCGTTGGCTCACCTCCAACCTGCTGGCATCCTTCGACATCTTTTGACGCAGAAACGCAAAATCGGGGGTCCGGCGGTTCCGACACTGCGCCCGAAGAGTGCGAGCCACCAAGGGGCAAGAGAACAAATGGCACCGCGCGAGCCGACCTGCAACAAGCAAGCCCGTGCATTCGGCGAGCCGCGGCCCGAAAGGAGCAACGGGCGCAGCGCATGGCCGTGTGGCCACTTGCGGGATGCGGAAGAGAACAGATAAGCGAGCTGGCCGCGAACACGCGCCGTGCCAGCCTGTGTGGACGTAGTCCCACCAGACCTTCGGCCGCAGGTGGATAAACGAGTGCACAGGTCACCTGAGAGAGGCCTCCCCGATGGGGCCGCCCGAGTAGAGGGGACGAAGGATCGGGCCGCATTGCCGATGCATGGGCGACGCATCGGCGATGCATCGCCGACGTCGGCGTCGAGAAAAACAGGCTAAACATCGAGCCTCATCGCCCATGCATCGGCGATGAGGCGCGATCCTCCGACCCCACCCGCTAGGACTCCATTTGGGTGGCCTAGACCTGACTTCGCCCATCGCGCTCCACGATGCGCAATTATTTTCGTACCCTCGCGCCGCCGCCGCGGAGAAGGACACTGTAGCAACCTGGGCCGCTACGGGCGAGGCGCGATCATCTTCGCGCCCCTGGTGGTGACCTGGAGTTCGTCCTTTGGAGGCCGCCTAGATGGGGCGAGTAGGTGGGGTCGGAGGATCGCGCCGCATCGCCGATGCATCGGCGATGCACTGGCGACGTCGGCGATGCATCGGCACCGTCGGCGCGGAGAAAAACGGGCTCCACATCGATCCGCATCGCAGTCGCATCGGCGATGCGGCGCGATCCTCCGACCCCATCTGATCCGACCCCACCTGGTAGGCTCAGATCCTTGCAGCCCCATTCTTCCCCATCGGGTATGGGCGTTGCCCCTCCCATGGATTTGGAATGCAGTAGCCGCGACGGGCGAAGGCGTCCAAGATAGCAGCATACGTCCTCGAAGATGCCTCAAGACCTCCCCAAGACAGCTCCACGGTACATTGTCAACATGTTGCACCACTCGGCGCTTGCGGCATTGGGCGCCGTGCTGGTGGTTGTCGTCCCCCCCACCGCCCCCAGTTCGGTTTGGACTGCGATCTGGGGTCGCCGGAACAGCTCGGTGGTGCAACGTGTCGTCGATCGCCTGGGCAATTTCCAAAGCTCCTTCCCCCCTTGCCGCCGATGTTGAGTCGGGGAGAAGACATGTAGAGCGCGTTTCTTTATTTTCGGCGATAGTGGGCATTATTGGGGGGGGCCAGGGAAGGGTATATAATGCAACGCCTCCCCCCCGCCGTGCGCACGGCGGCAGTGCCCGGAACGCACTGGGGGGGGAGGGGCGTTACGTTATAAGGAGGGAGGGGAGGGGGGCGGGGGGCTATGATGCCCATTATGCCCGAAATCGGCGGTGGACAAACCTCCCTTTAATAAACCTCCCCTTAGTGAAAACGGCCTGGGACCGAATCCGCTGGACCTGGACCCGCAAAAATGACGGCCGCAACGCCCTCTCGCGAACCGAAAACGGCCAATTCCTTAATCGACGTGTCAGGGTAGGAAGCCTGTCCACCCCCGGCGAAACAATAAAGAAACGCGCTCGTAAAACCACGCGTGCGAAGACCGGCCAAGAATGATGCAGCACTGTGCCGACAGGTCTGGCACGCGGGCCTGCGAGGGCCAGACGCGGGGGCTCGACGTGTGGTCCGGGCGAAGGGGCCCCGAGCAGTGGGTTCGTGCACTCCGGACGCGTCGACAATCTGGCGCGGTCCACGCGGTGCGACACTGACACGTCGGTCGGAAGAAGTAGGGAAAAAGCATGAAGTAGGAAGGCGGTTTGAGTTGATGGGGTCCAGGCCCCCCCAGAGAATGACAAAACACGGCAGAAACGCGCCGATTCTTGAAGTAGGAAGGCGCTTGAAGTAGATTAGGATCTGGGAATTCAAGTGGTGGTTGGAAGTCGGTATTTTTGGATTCCTGGACTCCAATCCACTTTAGGCGCCTTCCTCCGTCAAGGATCGAGTGGCTTCCCCTCTTCCCTCCTCCTCCTCGGGGGGCGGGCGGGCACCCAATCTGCTTTCAGCACCTTCCTGCTTCATGCTTCTACCCACGTCTTCCGACCGATGCACATATGTGGGGCAAGACTTGCGGCGCAAGCAACGTGGAGCAAAACGCGTGGTACGATGTGCGGGGTGCACGGTGCACGCCATCTGATGCAGCCTACGCGGTGCAACACATGCGATATACAAGCAGGGATGACATGCAAACGAACTGCCTAGGAGTGGTGGGCCCTGGATGTGGGACCTCGGGTCGCCTTCGCTGTGCTGGGCTCGGCCCTCGTCGCGCGAGTTTTGTTGGACACATGTCAAATATACGCTGTGAGTTGACGAGTGCCGTCTTTTGCGCTCATCTGCCACCGTGCCTTCAGCACGTAGTGGAGCCCCTCCTGCAGCCCTGAGAGGTGAAGGGGTTGTAAGGTTCTAAAAACCGCTCCCAAGATTTCCCGGGTTTGTCTGTGGGCTCCGGGAGCTCCTCTTCCGGCCTAAGATGACCTCCCGAACCATCGAGGGCGATTCAAAATGGAGGTCAAGAAATCCACCCCCATAATAACCACCCCGACACTCAAAGCCGTTTAGCAAACACGCCCAAAGAAGGAATCGAACAGGGCAGGGCTGTTTAGTAAACGCCCATGACCGTTTAATGAACGCCAAATCTCTGGTCTGGATGGTTTGTAATCCCTAGAGAAAAAATGCCTCGTATGGCCGAAGAGGTCAGCGGAGCGTTCCGAAACAGCCCTAAGATGGCCCATTGTGGCTCTAAAACGGCCCAAGGGGCCCACAAGACGCCTCAAGAGGACCCCGCGAGCACCCCGAAAGGCAAACATGGCCGCATGCCCTTCTGAATATGTATGCATATATACATACATACACACATACACACATACACACATACACACATACATACACATACACATACACATACACATACACATACACATACTCATACACATACACATGCACATGCACATGCACATGCACATGCACATGCACATACACACACATACACATACACATACACATACACACGTACATATATATATATATATATATATATATATATATATACGATACACATACATACATACATACATACATACATACATACATACATACATACATACATACACACACATACATGCATGCATACATACATACATACATACATACATGCATGCATACATACATACATACATACATACATACATACATACATACATACATACATTGCGTGTATACATATATCCATATATTCCCTACCTAGGCTCTGCCTAGAAGGGTTCTTACTCTGTTCGCTTAAAGGGCCGGGCAGTGGACCCCGCCCCGGGAGGTTCCCCCGGTCCCCTGGGAGCCAAGCACAAGCAACAGCAAAGGTAAAAGCAAACGCGCGGTTCCCCCAGTTGCGCTCCCTGGATGCCAAGCAAAAGCAACAGCAAAGGCAAAAGTGAAGGCAAAAGCGAAGGCAAAGCAAAAACATAGCATAGCAAAGGCAAAGGCAAAGGCAAAAGCAAAGGCAAGAGCAACAGCAACGGCAATGCAAAGCAAACGCAAAACCTATGCGAAAGTGTAGATGTAGATGTAGATGTAGGTGTAGGTGTAGATGTGGATGTAGGTGTAGGTGTAGGTGTAGGTGTAGGTGTAGGTGTAGGTGTAGGTGTAGGTGTAGGTGTAGGTGTAGGTGTAGGTGTAGGTGTAGGTGTAGGTGTAGGTGTAGGTGTAGGTGTAGGTGTAGATGTAGATGTAGATGTAGATGTAGATGTAGATGTAGATGTAGATGTAGATGTAGATGTAGATGTAGATGTAGATGTAGATGTAGATGTAGATGTAGATGTAGATGTAGATGTAGATGTAGATGTAGATGTAGATGTAGATGTAGATAGATGTAGATGTAGATGTAGATGTAGATGTAGATGTAGATGTAGATGTAGATGTAGATGTAGATGTAGATGTAGATGTAGATGTAGATGTAGATGTAGATGTAGATGTAGATGTAGATGTAGATGTAGATGTAGGTGTAGATGTAGGTGTAGATGTAGATGTAGATGTGAGTCTCGCTGTTGATGTAGATGTAGATGAAGATGCAGGTGTGGAATGTAGCTGTAGGTGTAGATGTAGATGTAGGTCTAGATGTAGATGTAGGTGTCGATGTAGATGTAGGTGTAGATATAGATGTAGATGTAAAGAACTCCCCAGTGCCCCGCCCTCATCTCCGTGCCTGCTTGCTTTTGCTGCTGTCTCGGCGACTTGCTGCCTGCTTCTGCTGCTGCTTCACTTACGGCGTGGCGTCGGCGGTTCTGGCGCTACTACTACTACTACTACTACTACTACTACTGCTACTACTACTACTACTACTACTACTACTACTACTACTACTACTACTACTACTTCTTCTACTACTACTACTACTACTACTACTACTACTACTACTACTACTACTACTACTACTACTACTACTACTACTACTACTACTACTACTACTACTACTACTACTACTACTACTACTACTACTACTACTACTACTACTACTACTACTACTACTACTACTACTACTACTACTACTACTACTACTACTACTACTACTACTACTACTACTACTACTACTACTACTACTACCGCTACTGCTACAATTACGACGATGAGGAGAAGGAGGACGGCGTTTACCGCTACTACTAATGTTGCTTTCCTAGAGGCTCCAACTCCTAGGTAGGGTCGCACTGGGATAATTCCATATATTCGCATATTGAGCTTTCACAGCGCCCCAAAACAGCCCAGGAAGCCCCAAGATCGCCCCAACACGGCCGAAGAGGTCCCCAAGAGGGCCCCAAGACGCCTCAAGAGGGCCTCAAGGCGCCCAAGACGGCCTAAGAGGGCTCCAAGATGGGCCCTAGATGGGGACCTCGAGCAAAGATTTCGAGCCTTCCGCCTCAAGGGCGCCCCCGAGATCGCCAGCAAGCGCCCAAGAAGTTCCAAAGAGGCCCCAAGAGGCTCCCACAAGGCCCAGAAGAAGCCCCAAGAGGCCCCCAAATGCCAAACGGCCCCATGAGGCTCCAAGCGGCTTCGAAAGTGCCTCCAAAGACTCCCCAGAGGCTTCCCAATATACCACAATCATCATCCAAGAAGCCACGGACCCACAACCCAGGCACGGTGGCGGGATGGGCCGAAGGCCACAATATCCGCCGCCCCCTGCTGATTCATCACAGGGGTGCCTGGCGTGCTGAACTTCTTACGGTTCTGGTTTTGGTTCTTTTCCAAAAGAAATATCCCAATGGGCTCCGGCGCGTCCCGCCGGGGTCCCAGGAGGATGCCGAAAGACCTTCCAGAGGTGGTTGCAAAGGGTTTTTCCGTTCCAGACGGCTCCAAGATGGCCCAAGATGGCCTCCAGGATGCCTCCAAGACGGCCAAGATGCCCTCCGAGACGGCTCAAGATGCCTCCAAGACGGTCCAAGACGGCCTAAGATAGCCTCAAGATGGCCCAAGACGGCCCAAGAGGCCCTCAAGAGGCCTCCAAGACGGCCCAAGAGGCCTCCAAGAGGTCCTCCAGGAAGGCCCGAAGAGGCCAACATCGTTGATTTCCGTACGGTTTTCGACAGATTTTGGCATTTGCGCCTTTTCGGCTTTCGGACGGCCCAAGACGGCCCAAGAGGCCCCCAAGAGGGCCCAAGAGGCCTCCAAGATGCCCACGATGGCATCCAAGACGCCCAAGATTGCCTCCAAGATGGCCCCGAAGCGCCCCAAGAGGGCCTCAAGTCGGCCCAGAAAGGCCCCCCAGACGGCTCCCGACGGCGTCAGACGTGCCAGGAACCCACCAAGATGGCCGAAGTTGGCTCGAAGCTGGCCCAAGACGGCCCAAGAGACCCCCAAGAGGGCCTCCAGAAGGCCAGAAGAGGCCAAAAACATTGACTTTCTCAAGGTGTTTTTCGGATTTTGACATGTGCTTCTTTTCGGCCTTCCGACGGCCCGAGACGGCCCAAGAGCCCCCAAAGATCGCCGAAAGATCGCCCAAGAGGCCTCCAAGATGGCCCCAGAAGGGCCCAAGAGGGCCCCAAGACAGCCCCAAGAGGCCCCCAAGACGGCACAGGAGGCCTTTAAGACGCCT